CAAAGAAAAGAGACATTCCATAATGATAAAGGTGTCAATCCAACAAGAGGATATAACATTCATAAATTTTATGCCCCAACATAGAAGCACATAAATACATAAAGCAAATGTTAACAGACCTAAGGGGAGAAACAGCAATATAATAACAGGAGGGGACTTTAATATGCCACTTTAACCAATGGATAAATCCTTCAGACAGAAAAATCAATAAACAGTGGCCTTAAACTAACTCGTTAGAGCAGGTGGACCTGCCATATACAGAACATTCCATCCAAAAGAACAGAACGTTCTTCCAGGGCGCACACAAAAAATTATTCATGATAGGTCATGTTACACCACAAAACATGTCTTTAATGTATTTTAGTTTTTCTTTTTTCCCCCCTTTCCCTCTGCCTAACAGACACAAGCCTAGGTCAGAGAACCAGGGAATTATCCTTGACTACACTAAAATAATGTCTTCCCTCTTGTAGCCATGCGGCTAATACAGTGACACACCAGGAGAGTCTGGTCCCACAGGTTACTGATTTACAACACAAGCTGAATCCGTAGCTTCAGCAGATTTCTTGGGGGGGAAATTGTATTTTGGGGGAAAGAGTGCAAACTCAAAAAGTGGAAGAGTGATGTATGAGGAGATTCCAAGTACCCAAAAGATTTCCCTCATCAACAAAATGAGCTCCTTTATATAATAGTGTTTCTTTCCTGAAAACCCTGTATTGACCACATTGATATAAAATTCCAATTCTCTTCATTTACAACTCCTACCACCTCTTACTGCCTCTGACCTATGACTAAACCAAATTGTAATTTGCCTCAAATTGTAATTCCAAAGTCAAACTGCGTGAAAGAAGACTTGCATATTAACAGAACTGCAAGAATCTCCTAACACTTGAGAATACAGGGTGTCCCAAAAAAATGTATACACAGTTTGAATAATAATTAATTCCAATAGGTTAAATCTGAAAAGAAACATCAATTGAGCTATCAGCTGTTAAAGTGTGTATACATTTTTTGGGACACCCTGTGTCAAAAAGATTCTGAGGATGCTACACCAGGAGAGGAGGAACAGTTTAGGTCAGCTGAATTTATTGATATGGGCACATTTTATTGCATGTGTTCACAGGTGATCTAACCCATGTTTCAGCCATGAGTGCCAAGTACAATTCTGCGTCCCATCTCTAACAATAGCTGAATTCTCGCTACCATGAAACCCAGCAAGGCCAGATAACTCAATAGATAAATGCCCTCAAGCTAGTTTAAGCAAAAGGAATTTATAAAGCAGTATAGACAGTTCACAGAATCACTAAAAAGGCTTGAAATAGAGTCTAGGCTGAATTCTAGGAACGACTCCCAGTCCCATACCACAGAAGTGAGCCTGCAATGTGCAGCTGCTGCTCCTATGATCAGGAAGCTCCCTGCCACGTCGGAAAGCATCCACCACAACCATCAGCTCCAAATCTACATCACCCTTGGTGAGATCCACACCAGCATAATAAAAAGCCCGGGTCCTGCGTGTCTCTCCACATAACTCACTTCCGAGTCAAACTCTCACCCAGCAGCATCTGGTCAGAGGAACCTGGGTTTTGTATGGAATCTTAGCTCTAAAGGAGGCTGGGAAGTAGGTTTTAGCTCCAGACTCTACCGCACAGGGAAGCATGATAAAAAGGAGTGGCAGCCTGGAGTGGCTTTGTATAATTCATGTTAATATATACATACAGACAACACAGAAATATCTCCAGCATCTATTTAACGTAAGTTACCTCATCCTCTTGTAGCATTGTTACTTAATATAGATGTGCCATAACTCACCATTTTCCTCTGCAGGACACTTGGGTTTCTTCCATCTTCACTGTTAAAAATACTGTTTCCTTCATGTTTGCCACACCTGTAAGAAAGGAATAGGCCCCTAGAGATACCGTTTTCTTCCCGTTGTTTTTTGCATGTGTGTGCTTCTGGACTTGTTTTTCTTTATATGAGCCTCCCTACTGTACCCTCCTTAAAATCTAACATGTTCTTTTCCCAAAGAGAGTATGTGCTGAATGAATCCTGCTTTTCTCTTGCCATGAAACACTATTTGCATTTTGGGAATTTCAGATGCAAAGTAGCCTGGCGCACTTTCTTTTTGCTATAGCATTATCTGGGTCAGGCATCTTGAAAAAGTCCCTAACAGATTATGTCATCTCTCACACTTCTGAATAACTCTTTTTTCATAGACAGTTGTCTCTAACCAATTAAGAACAATGGCCCACAAAGGTGTTTTCTACTTATAAAAAGGCATTTCACAACCTCAGTGCAAATATGCAACTGCTGTAGGTAGCAGTGTGATGCACCTGAAGTGAGCTGTCAGAACAGCAGCATGAGATAAACATGGAAGAGCACCCTGGAGGAGAAATATTTACATTCTAACACTCCCAAGGCAGCAAATCACAACACAAAAGGTAGAAAATGTTAAATTTTCTGAACTTCATTTCAACATGTATAAAATGGGGGTAAAGCCTATTATAATGCCCTTTGAGGACTAAACAAATGTTAAACTAAAATATACCACTGCTATTCCAGACTATAAATGTCACACACACCCTAGACCATGTTAGCTAAGAAGGGCAGAAAGTTGTCTATTAACTGGTAGATCATTCTAGAAGTAAACTTTCCCAAAGTCAGTACCTTTCTCTTTAAGTGATTCTCTCTCCTCACTCTGACTGTAACGGACCTTGGTCATCTCCATCCCACGCCTCAGCAAGTCTGCAGTGGCACAAAAG